TGTTTGAAAAATGCAGCATTGAACAAATGTTGCTTCTCAAGTGCTTTAAACGGGGCTAAATCTGCTCTGAATATTCGTACTGCTCGAAACTTGCTCCAAAAGCCCTGTCTGGTGCTCTAAGCCTGCTCTAAAACATCTTTTTGGCTGCCCCAAGCCTCCTACAATAAGCACTTTTGCCTGCTCCCAGCACTCCTCCCAAACCAATGTACTCTGCTCCACCCACCTCCAGAGAAGTACTGGAATGGATGGTTGCAGACTCCAACTATGGAGTCAGTCAACATGTTGACTACATCAAAAATGTCTTTGCCATGTGCTCATGTGTTTTTTCTCTTTTTTTTGCCTGCTATTTGAGGTGAGGGTCAACCTACATAGTGTACATACATTCATACATTACATACATTCGTACATACATACATTATATTCATTGTTTTGTTACACCCATAATTTACATTTACTGTGATAGTATCTGCTGTGAGGTGAAAGGCATTTAACTCAGGTTAAAAGGCCCAGGCTTCACTATGGTATGCCTCAAAAAGTTGTTTTTGTTTTAAAGAGAATAGTCTTTCTTGGAGACCTTCGACGGAAAAATTTTGGTCTGTCTGTCTGTACATTTGTCTGTTTGTCCGCCCTAACAATGCCTTAATAGGCACCAAACAGCCAACCCCATCCGCAGCGTCCACCAATATTGCTCAAGGTTTTGCGTTCATAGTTATGCGATTGTCAATTAAAAAAGCAAATATTGTGCATATCTGAGGCGCCATAACAACACGTCTATGTTTTGTATGGCTGCCTTTATACTAGAAGAGGCACACACAAGTAGCTCTAAGGACTGTAGCGTTTTTCGCGCTGCGCTGACAGCGCAACGCGATGCTCAAGAAGGTGTTTCTAACTCTTTCCTACGACGACGCGGTGGTGGCACCTGCCTGTCGCTTTGAATTCTACACCTTATCACCTCCGAGACTGGCGCGCATCTTTCTCCGCAGTGACGCACGCCTTTGTTTTCGAACTGCCAGATGGCGCTCGTGTCTAACGTGCCTAGATGCGCTTGTTCGCCTCCGCTACACGCTCGAGGCACTGTAACGCTTCAGAATAGCGTCTTCAGAATACCATTCACCGATTTTCTTGCGCAGAACATCAAATAAACGTTTTGTTCACTCTCTCTAGACACAAAACTATCGTCTTTCGACGACATTTACAGTGTAACATGTAGATTCGGGCCAATTTTTTGTATGTAAAACGTCATCAAGCCACGGCCGGACTAGAAATGCGTGTTCTGTCTTATGGCCTTCGCGATTGACTTCAGCGCAATATTAGCGTTTCTCCGTCGTTAGAGCCACTGCTCAACGCGAGGGGCGCAGTGACCCTGCCATAGTTAAAAGCGTTTTTGCCTGCTGCTTGGGGTCTGAAGATGTTTTTTTTTTTTTTTTCCTCTGTTGAGTGTCTACTTTTGCATGGCCTGCAGTCACAAGCGCAACGGCGAGCAATGGCAGAGTCGCATCCACAACACGGTGGTGCGGCGGGAGATGGAAACATACGCACTGTGAAGGCCGTAAGATGAAATGCTGCGTGCCTTGCCAGTCCGGCAGTGATCAAGCATAGAGATATGTATAAAGGGGGGGGGGGGGGGGGGGGGGGGGGGGGGGGCCTCAGTCGTCAAGGCATCTAAGCATCTACTAACCACTCAAACTAGTTTTTCTAAGTCATTACATGTCACTGTTTTGTAGCTCAGAGCTACGATAATTTTAGTAAAACCTGTAAAAAAAAAAGATTGAAGAATTTTGTTAAGTTTGCATTTCAGTGCTATGAGAGTAACTCCTCAACCACATCCGGTGCTTTTTTGTGATGTTTCACATCATGTGAACTTAGTGTCAGTTTGTGTGTTATGAGCACAAAATTCAATGCACGTATATACAAAGATGTGAAAAAAAGTACCATAATTATTGGAATCTAGGCTGATTGTTTGTCTTTTTTTAGTTTTTTTTGCATCAAATGCCTGGGTCGGCTTAGATTCAGGGGTTTTTTGAAGAAAGGGCCATTTTTAATTGAGAAAATAGTGCACAACCAGTGCCACCTAGACGGCATTATAGCCGTTAGTAGCCAAGCCAAAACCTTGCATAAAGGGACACTAAAGTCAAATAACAATGTGTGTCAGAGTGAAAGCTCAGTGTATTCCAACGTCTAAAACTACATTATTAACAACAATCCTATGTACCAATAAATTAAGATAAGTGCATGAGAACACGCGTATCACGAGTAGGACATTCGCAAAATGATCCCGATGACGTCAGTGTTACCGTCTACAATTAATCACTAGTAATCGAACAAGCTGCACTAAAGAACCTTCTATGCATAAGAGACGTAAAAAAATTCTGCTTGTCTGTTTCTGTTTGATTCATCGAAAAAAGAACCGCCAGGCATCACCATGGGGAATGGCGCATGTGGTTCAAAAGTTCAATTGGTTAAACTGGGCAGATCGTGCCATCTAGTGGGCCCAGTCAAGCCAAGCACGCCTGCCATCTCGAAGGCTATGGCACAAATTTGTTCAATGGCCGTAGCTGGTGTGGTTCCCAGTATTTTCGCTCTGCTTCTACAAGTGTCGGCAGCTGCACAGTAAAGCCGGGCAACGTTGTGCACGTCAACAGTGACATGAGACAGACACTTTTAGGGAGGGGGGGATTTGAAGTGTGCTATCGCGATGTGGACTGCTAAAACGCGATTTAATTTCAAAATAAGCACTTCATTGGCACAAAAGTAGCACTACGAGGTTTCTGGATCACTATTTTAGCGATCAACATCGGCTTAATATTTGCCTTTAGTGTCTCCCTTTGAAGGCCAACTCCGGTGGTTTTCTGCCCATGTGAAAGTAATGGGGCTCTTATGTTCCCGAGAGTCTCCTGTCATCGGCCTGATAGCAGAAATACTCAGAAAAGTGGAGGACAATTTTAAGTAAGCAAGAAAGCGCAGCACTGAAACCCAACTGCAGCACTGCCTTCGTATGGTGAAGATGTTGGTAAAAATCATGCAAACTGGAAACTGTGCAAGGCAGGCCGCTCTCGACAGTGCGGGTATGGAAGCTGTGAAAGCGGCGAAAAGCAGACTCTCTGGGCAAAGGTGACCTCATCGCAACAGCTGCACCATGCGTGTTACTGACCATGCTATGTGCACAAGCTTTTTGGAGATGTCTGAAAATGCCAGCATAGATTCGGACGCATGTGGAGGCAAAGTTAAATTGCTGAAGATGGTTGGCGATTGCTAGTTGTGCATTTCACTATCAGATGGCGGCACCTGTCCAGGTTGTTCAAAGTTGTAGGGCCGTGATTGTTAAAATGCTACTGCTTAAAAGCTTGCAGGCTAACTGAAGCTTCTTTATATCGCTATAGGAAGAGCGCATATGCATGGCAACAGCGAAGTTTGCGGTGGGAGGGTTGGTGGCAGGGTTGAAGGAATTTATTTTTAGGCAAGTACGCAGCCACCTTTCGTATGGTGCGCTAGGCCCAATCACGGTGGACCCTGTATAAGTTATAAAAGGTGTTTACATGCAGTAATGTGCGTGCTTAGTACACTACATTAATGTTCACATATGGGACCCCCTTCAGCCGGTGTGGTATTAAGTTTGCATTCAGTGAGCCACCACTGATAGCTACAACAGTATAATATTTAGACAAGGGTAATTGTGAGGTCCGAGTGTTTAGCGACTTCTGGAATCGCGTGAAACCACAACACAACGCCAATTGCCACCCATCGCACTCAGACCCACAACGAACAATTCCGTTCGCCGAATGAACGTAACGTTGGCTAAGCAACACACTCAATCATTGCCTTGTGAACAGCAGATGATGTAGTGGCATCTCTGTTGTCACTTCCGTCGTATTGATGTAAATGTTGGCACACTCAATGTTGCCAATAATTTTTGAAAGCCAGTTGAAAGAGCCGGCGCAGTCTATAAAATTGATTTTTCAAGAATCTGAGTATCTTTCCAGCCTGTAATTAGTGACAAATTATGGAAATGTGCAAAGGAACGTACCCAGCAAATTTCAATGAGATCCATTGACCTCACAAAATTGCCGAAGTTGACCCTATAAGTACACACGTGAGGCCGCCATTTTGATCATTGTGGAGAGTGTTGAGGCGAGCAGTTTGTCATTTTGAGTCGCCCTTTGAGTGGTCTGTGTGTGGCGTAGCTCAATGGTGCCAAACAAGTGGTGTCATTTCAGTGCCGCTTATAAAAGGAAAGTTGTCCTAGCCGCGTAGTCATCATCCAATGTTCAAGCGGGGCGGTACTTTGGAATGGACGAAAAAAATGTGCGTCGCTGAAGGGGCTGCAGCGTGGCCTGACAACCTGGGAACTTTGATTGTGTGCTGTTTTAAGAAGTGCGGCATATCCAATGTGCTTGATGGCACCAAGGATTGTGCACTGTTTGAACACAGTGACAAATAAGTCGGCATCAAGGGAATCGGTGACGACTCGGAATGATCGTGGCATGGGCAAGTGCAGCATCTTATATGATGGAAATAACTAGGAGCAGCGCGAAAAAAACTACGACGAAGACACACAACAGGACTAGCGGCTGTATGTTTTCAAGTTATTTGCATCATGAACCAACTCCTTTGTTTCATCTTCATGGTCAATAAATGTTTTTCCTTTGTGAACGCTGTCCTTGCTGTTTTGTTCGGCCTACATTCGAGGCAAGTTTTTGTTTCGTGGGCTTCGGATTTTCTGGGGTCGGCTTAAAATCCTAGGTTCGAGTAAATATGGTAACATTGTAGTGTGGGTTTGGCTTAGTGCCTGAAACTTGCATAAATTCCATCAGCTACCCTCAGACTCAAGGGGATTTTTGCAAGCTCAGTCCAGCTGTAGCAAACATTAGCCTTCCTTACTTTTATCTAATATGTTCACATGATTTTACACTTAAATTGCTTACTAGTTGTGAGGAAGAAATCGACCATTGATCTTGGATGGTTAATTTGTTGCTCACAAGTGATTAACTTTTTTTCATCAGAACGTCGTCGGGACGACACACGAGAGCTGCGGCAGCTATGGCTGAACCCTAGCAGTACCATTCTCGAGCAGCTGTCTACCCCACTTCTGGAAAACCCCTTGGGGCCCAAGTCAGACGCTAGCACAGATCTTGACAAGGACTTGGATCTCAGTGCCAGCCATATCATTGACCCTGGAATGGAAGCTAAGGTGTTTTTACTGTTGTACTCTTTTTCTTTTTTGCAGTGAACATTTAGAAACTGAAGCTTGAGCTGGGTCTCTGTTCTGTTGTACACAGAAGGGAGTGGAATACTATGGTACTTTAAAGGGACACTAAAGGCGAGTTGGTTTAGATCAACAAACTGCACTCTGAGAACTCTAATGCTATATGTTTCACCATCACAAGTTCATTATTAGCGGAAAAAATCTTTGGGTGCATGTTAAAAAAATCCCAGGTGGTCAAAATTTCCGGAGCCCTCCACTATGACGTCTCTCATAATCATACGGTGGTTTTGGGACATCAAACACCGCATATCAATCAATCAGCGGAAAAAATCAAGGTTGATGTTTCATTTTTACATTTTGCACCAAAGTCTCTGCACATGATGTACGTAAGAAATTTAAAAATGTTTTTTTGGTGGCATTGGCTCGATAAAATTTTCTAGCTCACAGATTACAATGTACTTGATTTTTATTGATTGGAAGCTACGTGGGACTCGTGGACTCCCTCAAAATTACTGACATCGAAATGTTTGGTGCGGGAATCTTCATGTGGCATCACCACCCGAATTTCTTTTTCACAAGTTTTCTTTATTGCTAAGCGTCATGTCGTGGTAAGAGTGGCGGGATCGTAAAGCTGTACATTACTAAGACGCAATTTTAAAGGGGTCTTGCAATGCTAAGCTACCATTATAGCTTCATTAAAGGAGTCTATTTCCTTACAAATCGACGACCGCAAAATTTTTTATAAGCTGTCATGTGTAAGCAGACTCACAGGTCTGTTGAATGCTGCGGGTGCTTTCACCCTTATCTCGTCGTGATGCACAGGCAGGAAGCTAAGCAGGGAGGTATCGTAGTAAGGGAAAAGAGAAGTTGCATCATGTGTGTGTTCTGACATCCTTTTTTATTTTCAAGAGTAAAACTTTAAAGTTCGGGGTTAAATCTCGGATGTCTGCAAAAAAACCCTCTGCGCCATTGCTTATCACGACTTGCGAAACCCTGTGGGCTGATGTGTATCAGCTACATCCACCGACGGTGATAGTCCTCACAGTTGCTGCTCTAGTTTATTCTCTGCGTGAGCCGAGTATATGAACGACGAAAATCACGTGTTTCTAACGAGCGTGCCACAGCCAGCTTCTGGTGCTGGAGTCTGGACCTTCTTGCAAGGTCTGTGACAGGCTGTGGTTCGACTGCTCTGCCTACACCAAGGAAAGACTTAACATCAGCCAAAAGAGCCACGTTGAGCCCACAAGATCCACCACCTTCATCATACCATTGTTTAAGCTTTGAAAGGCTAGTGTAAACTTAGCCCCCCCCCCCCCCCCTTCCCCCCTTTTTTTTCTCTTCAAACACACAGCTTACATTTAGTGTGATCACTAGAGCATGTGCACGGATGTGGCGGTATGCTGCGGCGACCTTGGCAGCTCTTCAACTCAAGATGCTCAAATCATGTAATGACCGAAAATTTTGGTACAAGGCATCATTTGTAAAAAGAAGAGGGAACATTGTTTAGGGGACTTTGGGAATTATTTGTAAATTCCAGGTCACTTGTCCTTTTGCTTCTTGGCTCATTTGAGCATCATGAGCTGCATAATTTAAAGCTGCCCCAAACTTTTTGAGCATAATCAGAAAACTTTGCCGATAAGTAGTTCAGGCTCCCGAGAAGATGCGAGCCAAATATTATAGCACAGCATGCGGCCTGGAATTTACAATAAATTCTCAGTCATCTAAAAATTGCTTTCTTTTTTCTGAACAACAGATGGAACAAGTTCAAAAATTATTCATCACAGCCATTGTGTCAGCCATTGGCTAATTTGAGCATGGCGTGCTCTGTTGCTGCCGTGGGAAGCTGAGACTTGTCCAAGCTTGTGCGCACGATCGCGCTGAAAAGACCTGCATTTGGCAAAAAGAGAAAGTATTCAAGGTTTTAAGGCAGACATGGCGTATTTTCTTTCCCTGTGTCAGCCCTCCCTGCTTAGTGTCGAGCTCTTTCATCGTGACAAAAAAAAAAAAAAAAAAAAAAAAAGAGGGACTGCAATAGCATCGTGAAACAAATCTTTTCAACTCGCTCATACAGGATGGATTTTTCGCAACAGTTAATTCGTGAGGCAATAAGCTTCTTTAGAGAATCCATTAAAAGTGTAGCAGGGCCCCTTTAATGCAGTCGCCATGGCGATGCCATCATGTGCCCACTTGGCAGTGCCTAGACTGCAGTCTATGCGCAGTATGAAGTAGTAATGTATCTGTGTGGCTAGTTTCAAATCCTTCAAAAAAGTACTGTCATTTTTAATTATTTTGGATCTTAGTTTTACAATGTGCTAATTTTGTACGCAGAATCTTTTGCTGGCCAAAAATTTGGCCAGCTTGCAACGGGAGCGAGCTGGCGACATCCTGCTTGATGTGTGCCTGGCCATACCTTGCATGGTGCAGTACACGCAAGGTTTAGAAGATGTACTTCTCTCTGGAGACACCATGGTGCTTGACTGCCTGACAAGCAGCGTTGTGCTATATGGATCGTAAGCTACGTTTTTGTTGTACTGGTGTGTCTGACGACTAGCATTTTATAAACTTCTCTTACATTTTGTACCCCTGGTCAGCAATGTCGTACAATGGGCCTTCAGGTCATTGTTCGACATTGTACAGTAAAACCTCATTAATTCGAAGTCACTGTGGCTGTGAGAAAACTTCAAATTAAGTGGGTTTTCTAATTAACAGAGTGGTATGCAAGGGACTTGAAATTACTTAAAGTAATTAGGCCTGGTTGTTAGCTGTGCCGGCTAGTTTACTGCTCAACAGTTTCGTTTTCCAGCAATACCTGGTGTGTATTTTGCCACAAGCATGGGGGAACAGTGGACCTCACTGCTGCCACTGCTTTAAAAAAAAAATTCTGGCCATATCAGTGTTTCAGTCTAAAAACACTGAAATGCACGCCTTTGGAAAACAAGACATCTTCACTACAACACAGTATAGTGACACGTGGGCAGCATGTCGGGTGCTCCTCGCTGCATCAGCACGTCATGATGCGATCATTCGGCCTTTTTTTGAGGTAAAATAAAGAATTTAAGTATTTCTAGTGTGACAAATTCGCGGTGAGTTTGCTGGAAACATGATCATTAAAGTTTTCGAGCTAAGTTTTCGAAGAGACGTTACAGACAAGAACTCCGCCAGCAGTGCAAGTGCATTGATTGCAAAAGCAACTGGCAATCGGAGGTTCGCAATCATTGTGAATTCTGCTAGACTGTCCTTTAATAATTTATATATATTCGCAGAAAAAATGGGTAAATCGTGACGCACTGAGGTTGGGAAAAGCATGCAATATGCTGCCCGTGCATCATCACTGTGTTGGAGGGAAGCATGTCTTGTTTTTCGCAGGCGCACATTCAAGTTGACCACGAGACAGTTTATTTTTGCCCTGGAAGTAGCGAGACTGGGTTGTTTCAGCTGCCACTCATTAGTGTCACTACACTGCATTGCTTTTATGGCCCCTAAAGCACGAGACATACATGCGATTCGCCGTGCGGTGTGATGGTGTGACAGCCGGAGTGGTGACGTTTCGTGACGTATCATCGCATCGCACCGCCTCATAGCCAGTGCGGCAAGCATCAAATTGGCCAGATATATTCGGCGCCGCATCGCACTGCTGCATGGCAGCAGCCAGTCACAGTGCAAGCAGACGAGTGACGTCACGTCGCTAGTGGCGCCATCTCCCTGTAGCCACTTCCATCACCTGTGATCTAGGCCAGTTCAAGCGAGTCGATGGAGTGGTGTTAGCGTGGATTTGCTGACATCACCGACTGTGGCGGCGTGACAAACATCGAGTACATTTCTCTGATGACGTGATATTATTCCGGATTGAATAAAGTGATGTTTGAAGTGTGCCATTTCTGCACGACAACTCCCGTTTTGAAAACGTTAGCCCGTTTTGAAACCGGAGATAGTGAGCAGCGATGCAAGCTTCATTTCGCAGGTTAACACGGCTACCAGTGTATCTGCGCTGGCTCGTTTCGCTTCCACCTTCACTCTTCACATCGATGGCACCGAGAAAGTAATAGCGTATGCAAACGCATTACATACGAGTGCAAAGCTCAATAATACTGTCAAAAACAAGCGCTCGATGGCGAGCTCGCGTAAGAACGGGGTAGGCGACGGCTGGCGCCCGCCATGCTAGGCCTACCTGTCGGAGTCGTGAATAATCAGCTGTTACCGCTGTTGCGACGCGCTTGTCATTCACGAAGTTTTATTCATTATTTTTTTATTTTTATGAAAGGAAGCGCAACTGTGCAATGTTGTTTGTTTTGAGTTTCATTACGAGGATACTAAGTCATCCGACCGCGCATGCCGAGGCGCCGCATGTGGGTGGAGCCAGCCGCTGATAGCTCCTTCGTCCTCGTGTGTCCCAAAACGTCGCATGCGGCACTCCGCACCATGGCACACCACACGCTGCATCGCACGGAAAATTGCACGTCTGTGTCGCGCTTTAGGGCTGTCATTGTCACGGATTTGCAGCAAAATTAGAATCTGGCATTCGCACATGGTGCTCAAAATTTTCAAATTAACTCTTTCGTTTTCACGCCTCTTCAAATTTATCACCAGTGATGTACGCTTTGGATCGTTGATTTTGGCATATTGAATGCGTATCTCGTGCACACAGCACTTTCTAGTAGTTAGTCCAGCCACTCAACTTTCAGAATCAATTTCAGTTTGCCCATCTTGGTGATATAGTGATTTTTGACAGACCTTGTGTGAACCACTGTACGGGTATTGTGCGAAAAATGCAAATGGGCGGGTGAACTTTACAAAAACTTGTGCCTGTCATGGTTACGATACAGTAACATCAAAGTTCTGTAATCAAAACAATCTCTGCAAGTCAAATATCAAATTAAGGTGTCAGCTTCGCAGTCTGAGTGTGTTGAGCAGTAATAATTGCCAGAAATGTATGCTAGCTATTCAATAGAGAGTTGCTGCTAGGAGTTAAGGAAAATTCATTCTACAAAAAATATTTCCGAAGGTCTGCCGCATGTCTAAAGTGTGGAGGTGGCCTTCTCAGCCAGTTTCCAGCGCTTTTGGTTTTGCTTGTATTTATTTATTTATTTATTTATTTATTTTACCCTCAGGGTACACAGTACATTTCAGAGGGGAAGGGCATGCCCAACAATAAAAACAAAACAAGCAATACAAAGCAAATGGCATAAAAATGTTGTCACTAATTGGGGTACAAAGATTATTACTCCTAACAACTCACATCATAATAAAGCAAATGATAACACTAATTTTATTTTTTATTACATGGTGAAGGCAAAAAGCAATACAAATAAACTGTTCAACAAACATACAGGGGGTAATTAGATAATCATTGTTTTAAGGACATTCTTAAATTGAATGGGTTCATTGATGCTTGTTATTGATGCAGGCAGGGAATTCCATTCATTACAAGTTCTTGGGAGATATGATTGGGCATATGTTACTGTGTTGCAATGGGGGACTGTGACTTTTTGTTGGTGATTATGGCGAAGAGAAATGAAGGAGCAGCTTGGATTAAACGGGAACGGAGTTTCGGATTATGATAGAATATTTTATGAAACAGACAAATGCGAGTGCGCTTTCGGCGGGTAACTAGTAGGATGAGGTTTAGAGATGCCTTCATTTGAGTGACACTAGCTGAACGATGGTAGTTAGCCAAAATGAAACGAGCTTCACGATTTTGAATGGATTCCAACATGTGTGATAATGTTACCTGACCAGAGTCCCAAACAGATGAAGCGTATTCCATTTGAGGACGGACGTATGTGGTATATAGTAATAACTTTAGTGATGATGGAGCAAGAAAGAAGTTTTTTCGAAGGTAACCCAGTGTTTTATTAGCTTTGGACGCTATATGTTCTGTATGTAAATTCCAGGACAAAGTGTTAGTTATGTGGACGCCGAGGTACCGGTAAGATGTTACAGTTTCAAGGGGGTGACTGTGAAGAAAGTAAGTTGGACAAGTTGTACTCGACCGAGAAATCCTCATAGACTTGCATTTTTGAATGTTTAGTTCCATTTTCCAAATATGACACCAATGAAGCATATTATTGAGATCAGCCTGCAGAGAATGAATATTATTGTCATTAGATATTTTACGGTAAATCACACAGCCGTAAGCGAACAAACAAATATTGGAAGTAATAGTAGAAGGTAAGCCATTTATATAGATTAGGAATAGCAGGGGGCCAAGTACTGATCCTTGAGGAACCCCAGAATCAACCGGTGCAGTGGAAGAATTAACATCGTTAGTGCTGACAAATTGAACACGAGAAAAAAGGAATGCACGAATCCAGTTAAAAACTGCAGGGTCAATTTTTAGAACACTTGGTTTATGTAAGAGCAGGGAATAGTTAACTTAATCAAACGCTTTAGCAAAGTCAAGAAATATACAGTCAGTTAAAGAAGCAGAGTCCAAAGATAAATGCAAATCATTAGTAAAAGAAATTAGTTGAGTATCACAAGAAACATCTTTCGAAAGCCATGCTGATTTGAAGAGAAAAAGCTATTATCTTCTAAAAAATTAACAAGATGAGAAAATATTATATGTTCCATTATTTTGCATGGTACACATGTGAGAGATATAGGACGATAGTTAGATGGACTATGTTTATCACCGCCTTTATGTACTTGAATAATCGCAGCAGTTCTCCAGTCTTCAGGTAGTACACCATCATGATACGATTGTGAAAATATGCATTTAAGGATGATGGAACTGTATTCTTTCGTATTCTTTAAAAATTTACTATTAATTCCATCAATACCATGAGAAGACGTTAGTTTCAGGTTGTCGATAATCGTGATGATGCCATGCGAGTCAAACGTGATGGGATTCATCGCAAAATGATTGTACGACTGAAGCTCAGGACGTTGGGTATAATTAGATGAAGAAAACGACCTAATGAATGTATCATTTAGCACAGTAGAACAAAGATGGTCGGGAACAGGATCGCCGGTGGGTGTAACCAATGATACTTTACTGGTGCTAAGTAGTTTCATTATACTCCAAAAACGTTTAGGGTTAGTCTTCAGGATATTCGGCAGGGTTACATTGAAGAACGAAGATTTAGTATCCTTTAGCGCTCGCGAATATGCTAAAGAGGCTGTCTTGTACTTTGTCCAGTTGGCCGGTTTAAGTGAATACTTAGCGATTCTAAAAAGTGTTTTTTTCCTTTTAGAAAGTCGGTTTAAGTATCTGTTATATCATGGAGCTTGGTTATTGGAGTACACCCGGCGAAGAGGGATATGGAGATGAATTAGTTCAGACACTTTATTACGGAACAAACACCAATTAGTTTCTACTGAGCGCCCAAGATAACCTGGTAAGAAAATGTCTAAAAAGGAGCACAGTTCATTATTAATAACTAGATAGTTACCCTTGTTGTAGTCTCTGATGTTCTTGGACTGTTTTACTGATGGTGCATGCGACAAATCGAATGTGAAATGCAAAATATTATCGTCGCTCAGGCCAGGCATGTGCAATACGGGTGACGTG